TATATGAGTATTATATATGCAGGTTTTTACAAGTTCAAGAAAGGTATTGCGACCACAAAGCTAATGCCTGCACCCTACAACTTACACAATTTTATAAATATATATAATATTTTTTTTACTTCATAGGTATTTTTATAAATAATGTATTTGTCTTTATATTATAAGATAGTATAATGTAAGGAAATAGGTACTATCAGTGTATTTCATGGACCCCCATTTTTTTTTCCGCTGACGTAGGGGTGACAGCTGTCATTTTGCGACTCATTGAACATTTGCGACTTACAGGTTGAGAAACGCTGGTGAAAACTTTAAAATTATATAATGGAACGTTTAAATTCGAAAAATAGTGATTATTAATACAAATTTTATGAAAATTTCAATTTACAATATGAACCAAAAAAAAAACACAAAACACAAAATTGTAACGATACTTATTTAGTAATTTATAAGCTTTTTATAATCTATTAAGGAATATTTACCTCTGTGACTCAATATCCTATAAGTAAATGGTAATAAAGTAAATACTGATAAACGAGTTAAAATTTTATCTACAAAACAAGAATATTGTACGTTAACGAGATTTTCGTAATACTCTTGGATGTTTTCGTGTAACAACAATGTTTGAATGGAAACGTAATTTAATCTTATTAATAACAATTTTAGTAGTATTGACGATAAATTTAATGCAACTTCAAGGTAATGATGTTGAATTTTCTAAGGTGGTAATGAATATAAACCGTTCGATAATTTTATCCGTGCATTGTAATCGAGCAGATGGCATAATATACCAGATGATGATAATAATAATAATATATTTGACATTGAGGAATTATCTAAAGCAATTAGGCAACCATATGTACTTAATTTGAATATGAGAGCAACAAAAACAACAAAAAAAAAAGTTGAACGCTTAATATTAATGATGTCTGTCGTCAAACGAATTCATCCATGGCAACGGACTCCCGTGATCCTATTATCAGCGTTATCTGTGGACAATACACATAATCTGCGAGATAAATGTAAGAATTTTCCGCTGATGTCGATTTTTGTCCGTAATTCGCAATTTCCCGGAAGGAAATTTAATTTATTGAAATGCGGTGATTGGAAGGGGATGGTATCAGTTGGATGTGAGGGGGGAGGTTGGTGTTGTACACCCTTTCGGGGGATGGAAAATGGTTTAAATTTGAAGAGTTTGTTGCGTGGAGCGGCTGTTGATAAAGTCTGTTAATCTCTTTGCTCAGGGGGTCTTTTTATTATCGTCGGATTTACGTTTATGCCGAATGCATTGAACCCGAGATATAAAGTGTGAGTGAGTCTTTGTCAGTCGTTCTCGTTTAACAAGAGGAAGCTCATCATCGACGTCGTCATGCACGGCATCCATCCGATCCATATAAACAGCATAGTGTGCGGTGTTCTCCTTTTCACGGTCCTCGTCGGTCTCGTCATATGGTTGCTCATCAAAGCTCTGAAGAACGAAGAGTTCTACAACGAAGGTAAACTACAAATGCATAACGTGCACACCTTTCCTAGAAGTTCGTACGTTTAACGCAGGCGAAACAATAGGCAACAGATAATTATTATGATAGATAACGCGTTTTATCGGGCCTCTCGATTATTATACCATTTAGTATGCATGTTTTTCTGCGAACAGCTCGAATCGCAAGAGCACGTGAATCGCCTTCCAAACTATGTACTTCTCAATTATTTCCGGTTTCTTTGTGATCGTCTTGGCAATAGCCGTTTGCTATATGCTATTCGTGTTTTGCTATCGACTACTTATGGGTATATGCAAATCTAG